TCTGGTAACTCTAAGTTTGTTTTGGGTATCTGTAAGTCTGTTTCTGTTTTGTGAATAAGTTCATTTGTATCATTTTTTAAAATTAGATTCCACATAGAAGTGGCACCCTGTGGTAATTGTCTTTGTCTGATGGCTGTTGTTGTTCCATTGTCTATTCCCTCAGTTCCTGTCCAACACTTTGTAACCCCATGGACTGTAGCCCACCAGGGTCCTCTGTCCATGGGGTTTCCCAGGCAAGAATACTGGATTGGGTTACCATTTCCTTCTCCAGGGGATTTTCCCAACCCAGGGATTGAGCATTTATCTCCTGCATTGGCAGGGGGATTCTTTACCTCTAAGCCACCAGGGAAGCCTGACTTTCTTCACTTAGCATCATCATCTCAAGCAGCCAGTATTTACTGAGCACTTACTAAGTACCAGGCCCTGGGTCAGCCCCTTTGCCTGCCTGCTATCCTCACAACCCCTTGGCCAGGTTGATACTGTCTGTTGAGCAGGCAGGAAAACTCAGCAGGGTTTGAGTGACTCGCCCAGGCACTGCTAGGAGGACAGGACATGGGACTTGAGTCCAAGCCTCTCACTCTGCTTTTAAACTTTCTTGCTCTCAACCTGTGACACAGATACCAAGCCCCTCCCTCAGACCCTCTCAGAGGCAGGCCTTCTCTGGCTGCCTGGTCAGTGACTCTCTGGACCACGGATGTTTCAGGTTCAGCTGACGAGTGTTTTCCTCCACCCAGGGACCATTGCTAATGACGACTGTGAGCTGTGTGTGAATGTTGCCTGTACCGGCTGCAGCTGAGATGGCCTGGGTGCCCTGAGCTCACCCAGGAACCTTGCCCCCACCAGTCCACTGCCTTCAGAGCCCCCACTCCCATCCAGGCTCTGGGGGTCCCCACCACCACAGTCATCCCCCCTCTTCCAGGGCCCGACAGCTGGAACTGGTGCAAAGCAATTGGACCCATAGTTGGAAAAGAGTTTGGTTCCTGGAACAGCCCTGCTGCTGAATAAAGATTCTCCACCTACACTTGGAGCCAGGCGTCCATTTGTTCATCCCCAGGAGGCCTGAGCAGAGCTTCCCGGGAAGCTGGGTAGGTTGGACCCTGAGTTAGGCGTTATCCTGGTTTCCTTGTCTGTGGAGTTCGTTCATTGAGCTCTGTTTCATATCAGAGGAGTGAGGCTGTGAATGGAAATGAATCACCTGGGATCACAGAGCTGGGAAGCCACAGAGCACCCAAACCCATCTGACCCCCAAGCTAAGCTCAGGGCCTGGCCCAGCTGCAGAGCCAGAGCCTCTGTGCTCCTGATGGAGTTGGGGGGATGATGAGGGGAGAATAGGGGAGGATGGGGGAGGATGGGAGGAGGAACGGGGGCTCTCCTAAAGGTGGAAGTGCGTTGGGACAGGTGGAGAGAAGAGCCACTCGGTGCCCCTTCTGGGCTGATTCTGCCCACCCACCCCGACCCCGCTGCCTTAGTGCACTCTTGTCCCCCTTCCTGGGCTCCCCAGGACCATCTGGCCAGCTCCAGGTGGGAGGCCTTCCTTCCCTCTCTTCACCCTGGTGGCCCTGAGGAATATTAATGATACCAGCATCTGCTACACCCTAGGCACTGCTCTGAACTCTCTGCGGATATTAACTCACTGAGTTCTCACAACAGTCCAGGGCAGCAGATACTTCATCATTACCATGTCCACTTTACAACTGAGGGACCCAGGTACAGAGAGAGCTAGTGAGCCCGGGCTCACAGGCTCAGCAAAGTGGCAAAGCAGGCTTCTTCCCCGGAAGTCTGGGCCAGGGCCTCTGCTCTGAACTGCCATGTTACTGCCTCCCTGTGACCTCAGGCCCTGGCCACAGCTGAGGACACCCAAGGCAGGATGCCCTGCAGCCACCACCTTCCTCCAAGGGCCTTCCAACTCTTCTTGAGGCTGGGAATTCCTGGGAGAAGGGCTTCCCAGGATGGCTTCCTCCTCGGCCTCTGTCCCAGGCAACCAGAGAGTAGAAAATCCTTGGGCCGTGCAAAAGGGCCATGCCCCCTGAACACAGATCCCAGGGCCACGGCCATGGTGAATTCCTGCAGGCCAGCTGCCCCTCCTGAGGCCAGAAGCCTCCCAGGCCACACACTCCAGCTCCTTCCTCTGCTCCCCTCACAGGGGCCTTTGCAAGGCCTCCTACATCTCTCTGGGCTCCTCTCATTCCTCTGTCATCACTACCTCCGCACTCCCACAACCCCTGCCAGGTCAGAGATTCCTTCTTGCCCTGCACCCTGCAGGCTATCTATGCCCACCATGCCAGAGGTACATCACAGTGTTATGCCTGATGTTCGAATCCCCGAACGGGAAGAGAGAAGGCCTCCAAGACAATGCAATCGCAAAAAGGGAAGTTTATTGCTGACTCGAATCAGGGCTCCTGCCGCATCCAGCGCAGTGGTGCGGGGTCAGAGAGCCCCGAGCCCAAGCTGTTACACAAATTTATAGGGTGAGCACACGCCGTTGGTAGTTGGTTTAAGTGGATTGGTTACAAGTTTGCAAAGCAATTTCATTGGTCAAACACACTGAAAACTTTTGGCGCGGGAATTTCCCGGGGGTTTCCTCCCCGTTCCTAATTGGCAAACAGCGGTCAGTGTTAAGCTGATTGGTTGTATCCAGGTGGCCTGATAATCTTACCACCCAGAAGTAGGAAGGCCTACTCCTAATCTAAGCTGCCTGCCACGGCATTACTTCTGTTCGCCTCACACACAGCACTGCTCCGACAGTGCCCCTTACCCTTCTGAGGCTCTCCAGTACCATCTCTCAAGTCTAAACTGAGCCCCGCACCATCTGGCCTCGTCTCCTACCTGCCTGGGGAGGAGGCAGTAAAGGCAACTGCCACTGAGTGAGCACCTACTATGTGCGAGGCGCATGGTGGAGCCGTCTGCACAGAAATAATAATATCAGCAAAGTGCTCACACTGGGCACCCGGGACTTCTAAAAGCCTTTCCTCTATTACCCCATTTTAATCTTCACTCAATGCTATGAAGTAGGGATTCTTCTCATTCCCATTTTACCGATGAGGAAACTGAGGAAAGAATAGGCTAACTAACCTGCCGAAAGTCACACAACTGGTAACAGGCAATGCCTGAACTGACAGAGTTTGGCTTCAGAGTGGGAGCATTAAGTGTTTTTGCCCCACCACCATTCTCATCAAATGCCCCTGCAACCTTGGGAGGAGCGATCTGTTATCATCTCCATTCTCAGATGAGGAAACCAAGTCTCCAAGAAGGATACAGAGCCTAGCAATGACAAGGTCAGGCTCAAACCCAGCCCTGTGCATCTCCTGGACTCTATGTCTTCCAGGCTGAACCATTCCAATGTCGTAGACCTTCCTGATTCTGTGCTTGCATTAAACCCCATCCATTTTCTGAAATGCCTTCTGCTTCTCTCCCTTCACACTGATTTTGAAATTACATCCATCCCAGTGCAAATTCCAAGGGCTAATGCAAACACCCTGCCTCCTATCCCCATTCACAGAGCCTTCCGGACCTCCGCCCCCCACCCTGAAGATGCCTCACCCTCTGAATCCTGAAGCCCAGGGAACCCTGCCAGAATCACCCTGGGGCACTTCCTCTTCCTTCCCTAAGGAGGGCCCCATGGCCTCCTTTTCCCTCATTCCCTCTACCTTTCTTTGTTCTTTGTATTTTGCTTTGTTGTTTTGACCATTTATTGATCGCTCTCGTGTTTGCATATAATCTGAACTTTACTTGCATTACACACACATTTACACACACTATTTCACCTTGTCTGGGTGTGTGCTGTGTGTGTGCATGCTAAGTCGCTTCAGTCATGTCCAGCTCTTTGCGACTCCATGGACTGTTACCACCAGGCTCCTCTGTCTATCGGATTCTCCAGGCAAGAATACTGGAGTGGGTTGCCATTTCCTTCTCCAGGGGATCTTCCTGACCCAGGGATGGAACCCGAGTCTCTTATGCCGCCTGCACTGGCAGGAGGTTTCTTTACCACTAGCGCCTCCTGGGAAGCCGGTACAATTACAATCTCAGTTTCACACAGGAGACAAGGCTCAGAGTGGGAAAGCGACTTTTCAAACATCACGTAGTGAGTGGAAGACCTGAGCAGGACGGCAGGGCTGAAACGATGTAGCTGTTGCTTGCTCTGCCCTGTGTGTACGGGCCTCACCTGCCCTGGGTCTCAGAGGGGCTTCCCCAGACTCCGAAGCCATTAATCCACAGGGAGGCCCAGGGAGCAGCAAGGATAAGGGGGCATAAGGACTTCTCCTGGAAGGGTGAGGAAAGGCTGCCCTCTGAGAGGAGGCACAGGGGTGAGGACTTGGCCCCTGAGCAGGAGTGATGTGGCCAGGAGTGTGGAAAGTGGCGCAGAGGACATGGTGAGAACTATGGCTTGGGGTGTGGGCCCTGGGGGCGGGGGTGCAGGCAGGAGGCAGCGCTTAAGTAGTCAATGCAAGACTAGATCCTGAGGCCCCTTGAACACTCTCCGGCCAAGGGCTGACTGCATAGCCCCTCCGTGCCTGTGTTGGTCATCCAAAGCAGCTCAAGTGCTCTCCTGTGGTTTAGTGGCCTTGATGACTCTGAAGATGGTGAAAGAATAGCAGAGGTTCCACCTCCCCCATTGATGGATGGTGGATTCAAGTCCCCTCAGCATCTGTGCAGGGGGCAGCCCGAGGGGGTGCTGGCTTAGCAGAAAGAGTGGGGTGCTTGCCCATAGCACACTAAACCCTGAGCTGGTGAGGGCAGGGTAGGCATCCCTAAAGTGTGATGGTGAGTAGACTGACTGATAAAAGAAGGAACAAACGCAACAAAGAGGGCTCTGGAATCTGGTTTATTAGCTGCGGGTGGGCATGGATCTTGGGAAGCATCAGCAGCTCCGGTGGGGGCAGGGGCTGGGCACCCCTCAGTGAGGGGCTCTCTCCTCACTCCTGCATTCGGGGTAGGTTGAGCTGTGAGGAGGAGGAGCGCCCGGCGAGGGAGGGACAGGAGGCAGGGAGTCTCCACCTGTTCTAGCATCCAGCACAGGCCGCGTAGGCGCAGATCTCACACGTGCTTGGATCCGCCGCGATGGCCCCTGGACCGGAGAGACGAAGCCCCGTGAGAGCAGCTTCCCTTCCCCAAAGCTCCCTCCCTCACCTGAGCCAGAGTTTGGACACCCGCCGCCCAGGAGAAACCCAGGCCTGTCCTTTCTGACCAGTGGGGCTTTTCACAACAAACCAGGACACAATTACCACTCAAGCCAGCCAATTAGAAGAGTCTACTCAGACCCGGGCTACAGCTGAGACCAGAAGAACCCGGAAGCACAACAGAGGGCTTAACAGACCCACCAGTCAGAGTAGAGCTCGTCCTGGAATCCCACCAATCAGAACACATCTCTCCCTCCAGCGCTACAAATCCGGCAGTCCATGAGCCCCCGGCTCTTCAGAGAGAGGGTTACTCACCCAGCCTGTCCAGGATCTCCTGGGCGTTGGGCTCCTTGCAAAGAGGCCTGAGTTCTTCGGGAAAATTAGGCAAGCTACAAAGGTTGGGAGCGATGAGTCCACCAGAATTTCTAGGGATCCTAGGCTCCTGGAGCTCCTGGAGGTCCTTGAGCTTCTTCACCGACTCCAGAGAAAAGGAGAAGTCTCCATCCTGAGAGAGACATGTCCAGAGTGTGAGGCCAGGCCCTGCTCCCTGACTGCCTCCCCCAGGAGTGACCCCTCTCCCGGCCCAGAGGCACTTAAGCAGTGTTTGCCGCCCATGGCCGCCAGGTGCTCCGCCGCGGGGCAATATGAGGTGGTCAGAGTTCAGGCTTTACAGCCAGACAGTAGGCTTGTATCCTGGTTTTGCTTTGGAACCATGAACAGGTCATTACAATCCGGGAGCCTAGGTTCTACATGTTATATGAGGAATGGAGAAAACAGACACGAAGTGTCAGGGACACAATAGGTGTCTACTAGTGGGAGCCATGGTGCCCCTCTGTGGGGAGAGACCCAGAGCTGGGACCAGATTCAGGCTTCCTGAATCCACGTGGCTGTACGCAGGTTGTCTTCACCTCTGCCTGAGAGAGGTGTGGGCTGATACCCTGGCCCCCAGCTCCAGCCTGGTGCCTGACTGATCTTTGAGAAGCAATAAAAGGCCTCTCGGGGCCTGGCTGTGGAGCCAGAGTGGGGCCCCCAGTGAGTGCCAGGCTGGCCTTTTAGCTGGCATCCACACCAGTAGGGACGCCCTCCTGTCAGGACCTTCAGGGTGTCCAGGTGATTTCTGAGATCCAGGTCAGGGGTTTGGCTGAGAAGTAAGGTCTGGAACAAAACTGAGCTCCTTCACTTCCCAACCACGTGCCCATGACAACTTACAAACTCTAAGGGTCTGTTTTCCCCCTCTAAGAAATGGGACTAGCAATCCCTTCTTCCCAAAGTGATCCTGGGGCCCCAGTGAGACACCAGTGGAGCCTGGTCACGGCAAGCACTCTGTAAATTGGCTAATCACTTGCCTTTCCCTAACTGTTTCTCTTCTCTCTTCCTGATCTTTCTATGAGTTTGAAAATGAAAGGTGTAAGAGGCAGGGCTGAGAAGGAGATCTGTGGGGCAGAACCAAGCCTTAAACATACCCCACCCTCAGTCCCCAGGGAGGGGTTACTTTATCAGAGGACAGGCCCTACACCCTGGAGGTAGAGAGCAGTCTGGACAACAGTGGCGACAGAGAACTTACCTTCACGATGACTCCCCCTGTCAGGGTGGCCCAGGCTCCAAGGAGGCACAGGGCGGATAACAGGAAGGTGTTCATGGCGGCAGCACCCAGGAGAGAGGAGTGACTGGTTCTGGATGCCAGGGGGAAACAGTGGGACTTTTAAAGAGGGCAGGGTTACTGAGTAACTCAGGAGTCTTGATGAGCATCTCAGCTGCTTGATGGTCAATTCAATCCTAATCAGATAAGGCTTAAGACCGCCCTGGCAGATAAGAGATCAGTCCAGGGAACCGTCAGAGCCCCAGCCCCTCCCTGGGCTCCCACTTTAACCCACCACTGGATTGGGTTCTGCATTCATTCACCAACCACTCACACTCACTGATGGCTCCGGGCCAGGCAATGTGCCAGGGTGAGGCTGCAGACTCCGCCCAGCCCTTATAGTGGGAGGCCCAGGCAGGGGCAGTGCAGGGTTATTAGGGGAGTGGGTGGGCAAGGGGAATGGAGGGGCCATTCACCCAGCCCAGGGGCAGGGAAGTTCAGGAAGTTTTCCCAAAGGAGGTTGTGCCAGCACCCGGTTTTAGAGAATTAGTGAAAATTTTCTTAGAGAAGGGGCCAAAGGTAGAGGGCCATTTTTTGCAGAGAATGCCACATGTGGGATAGCAGGGAACTAAAATAGGCCTGGTAGGAGTGGGGAAATGTGAGTAATTCAGCCTGGGGGGAGGAGGAGATTTCAAGGGGCCTTCGAGTCATGAGAGATGAGATGACCAAGGCGGGTACTAGGTTTGACCACTGTGACTTTGAGAAAGGATTCAGCTCTGTCATCCATAGGCCTGGATTCAAGCCCCATATACTGCCCCATTTCGATGTGTGTGAATTTGGGCAAATTGTTTCATCTCTGAACTTCAGAGCTCCCTGTATTTCCCCTGGGGACCAACATGATAATGCATATCTCATGGGAGTGAGAATTAATGAGGTTAGAAAGATGCTTACCTCAATGCCTGGAACACAGAAAGCATACAGTACAGCCCGCTGAGTTATCATTACTTTGATCAACAGCAGCGCAGCTTCTGGTTCCCTTTGGCCCTTCTGGGGATCAGCCGCCTGGTCTGAGCCATGGTCTGTTCTCATCATGCGCTGGGTCTGCTGTCCTGTCCGTATAGCAAGTTCAGATCGTCCTTGAAAGTTTTTTCTCCTCCTTCCTGATTCCCTTGACCTCTGCTTCTCTCACCATCTTCCCCTCCCTCCACAGCATCCCTTTCTTTTTTCTGCTCCCCCTCCCGCAACTAACTTAGCCTAATCGCCTCCATCCTGGTCTTTCCTGCCAAGTTCAACTCTGACTTTGAATATGTGGTTCCATTTGCCTTGGAAGGTTTTTCCTTCCTCATCACTAGGTGAACTCCTACTTAAACGTTAAGGCCCATATCAAATAACCCCCGCTGTATCCTCAGCTAAATAATAGCCTCTCTTTGTTCTCACAGAACCAGATAACATTCCCTACCTGGGATCTTGTTGAGTTGGGTTACTTGGGTGTCTGTCTTTGCTCCTCTAGACTCTGACCCCCATGAACTCTGTACCCTGGCATAGTGCTTGTTTATTGTATTCTTTTTGAGCAGAGCCTCCAGGACACAGAGGAAGGGCAGCCCCAGGAGCTGCTTTGTTCTAATCTACAAACCAATCTGGCTGGAAGCCAGGGAGGCTCCAAACAAAGAGATGGGGGTGGGAATCCCTGGGTGGGGAGAGTCAACACTGTAGGGGAAATTAGAGGGAACTTCAAAGGGGTTCAACCCCAGGGAGGAGCGAGAAACACTTGGTTAACTTGCCCTCTCAGGCTAATCCTCAGAACCAGACTAAACTTCCCTCCTTTTCTAGTGTGTGTGTGTGTGTGTGTATGTGTGTACACAGACATGTGTGTGTAAACTGAAGTGTGTTAGTGTGTGTGAGGGGTATGTATATATGCTGAAGTCTACATATCCAGAACAGCCATGTGGTGGCCTCTGCTAGCTGAGAGTTGGGTGGGAGTGAATACCGGTGGAGGGTTAGGTGTGGACAGGGTACAGAAGGATTATGGATGGAGTCTGGGTTGAAGGTAAGGCTAGAATCAGGGTAGAATTTATTGTGACTGGGATGGAGGTGAGCACAGGTACACACCAGGAGGAATGCAGCTAAGGTTGCTGCTGCCGTTGGAATTGGGGTTGGGTGGACTTGAGCTGGGCTAATGTGGAAGCTGAGTTAAGACCACTCAATAGGTTTCCAATTGGGACTGGAGTTACCTTAGGGCAAAATGAAGTAGCAGAGAGTGATAGGAGTTCAGGTTAGGACTCGAATTTGAGTTTGGGTCAGGATCAGGGTGGAGCTGAGCTTGGGCATGGGGTAAGGGTCAGGGTAAGTGTTAGAATTGGGGGTGCGGCTAGGATTGGGTTGATGTGGGGACTGTCCCTGACATGGAGGTCGGGTGGGGTTAGGTTCAGGTTCTGCGCTTGGTTAAGGTTGGAGTTGAGTCTGCAGTTGGAGATGGAGGAGTGGGTGGGGGTCAGGTCTGTGACTGGGGTTGGATCTGGAGCTGGACTAAGATTCAGTTTAGCATCAAGGATGGGGTTGAATAGGCTGCTGTGAGATGAAGGAGCCCTGTCTCTGGTTCCCTTTGGTTTTTCAGTCTTTTCTCTCCTGAGGCACCATGCAATTAGGGGTAAAGGGAGGGGGCTTTGGTTCCTGAAGCCTCTTTCCCCATATCCCCTTAGCCAGGGCTGACCTAGTACACACCAGGGGTGGGGTGGGTGGGGGTCTAGGTGCATGGGAGTGACATAGCTCCACACTGTGGGAAAGAGGAAATGGCTCCCAGGCCTCAGCCCTTTGGGCCTGACCCTCCCCAACCCTGCCTCTGACATCTACCCTGGGAAATGGAAACCAGTACCCTCGCTCTCTCTCCCCGCCAATTCCCTGGCCCAACCTGGGCCCAGATGTGGATCCAGGCCCCCTCCCTCCTCTCCTGCATTGAAGCTGCTGGATCTTGGGGCCCTCTTGGAAGCCTGGGGTTCTGGACCACCCCAGGCCCACACCTGAGTCCTGTGGTCTTGGTTCCCCAGCACCCTGACACCCCTGACATTCCTTATAGGCAGCAAGTGGGTCGGTCTAGGTTGTTTGGGGCCGCTCACATCCAAGGCCACCTCTTCTGACAAACTCCTGAACCTCCATAGCCTTCCAAGCCATACCACTTCTACCTGCCTCCCCACGGGAAAACCCATCAGTGGCTGCCCAACACCTTCAGAAGGAAGCCCAGACTCCCTGTCAAAGCTCGTCATGGTCAGCTCCCTGCTCACTTTTCACGAGGATCCCAAGTCTCCCTAGGAGTAGGCCAGAAAGAAGGAGCCCAGACCTGGGGCCCTATAGGTCAGTGGTCCCAACATTTTTGGCACCAGGAACTGGTTTCATGAAAGACAGTTTTTTCCATGGACCAGGGTGGGGGTGGGGGGGTGGGGAATGGTTTGGGAATGATTCAAGTGCTTACATTTACTGTGTACTTTATTTCTATTATTATTACCTCACCTCTACCTCTGATCATCAGGCATTAGATCCCAGAGGTTGGGGATTCCTGATGTTGGTAGAATAGCTCCAGCTTTGGAGCCAGGCGGTCCTGTGGTAGAGTCCCCGCTCATCAATGAATAGTTGTGTGCTCTCTCTGAGCCCTCAGTTTCTACATCAGAAAAATGGAAACAATGACAACTATATTGTGGATTTCGAATTGCCTGGAAAACTTTCCTCACTGGCTTCCAGCCCCAGCAAGCCTGTATTTAGACCATATCTGTCCCCTGGGCTCCATCAGCTTCCTATTCTTTCCCCTGATAAAACCTGTGCCGCCCTCTCTCCTGCAAACTCCTGAGAGCAGAGCCTGTGTCTTGCTCCGTGGTGGCCCCAGTACCCACACAAGGCTTGGAACTTAGTCGCTACCCCTGATCCCGCAGGAGACCAGAACCAGTGAACCAATGAAGTTGCTCAGTCGTGTCCAAATCTTTGCGACCCCATGGAGCGTAGCCCACCAGGCTCCTCCATCCATGGAATTTTCCAGGCAAGAGTACTGAGTGGGTTGCCATTTCCTTCTCCAAGGGATCTTCCTGACCCAGGGATCGAACCCAGGTCTCCTGCATCACAGGCAGACGCTTTACCATCTGAGCCACCAGGGAAGCCTGGAGACCAGACAGGCTGTGATATTTGGACTAATCACAACATTAACAGTAACAGGAAACGAGGATTAAGCACTTGGTCTGGGTATGTGCTTTACTGGTGTGGAAACCAGACCCCTGCCTGCAGCCCAGCCACCCCTCACCCATTCTGGCAGCTGCCGGGAATCCCCCCTGCTATCGGGGTGCCCTCTGGACTCTCTGATGCCGACCGCCATTGTTTTGGCCTAGAGGTTGTTGAACTCTTGGGTTGGGGTGACCTCACCATGATTCCAGTGTGCCTGTTAAAGCTGGGTACCCCGAGGCCCAGTCCTCCCAGGCCTGCTGGCTCTGCTTCCCTGAGGGCGGGAGGCCTCAGCTGACCCTAGGAAGGAAGGCCTAGAGCAGAGCCCAGGTGGGAGACTGGAGACTCCCATATTGATCTGTGTGACCATGAGGGTGTGGCCCACAGTTCACAGCCTCCCCATCCTGCTTGTAAACACGTTCTGGACATTCTTCCGAGAGGCCAGAACCGCCTGAGGAAGACATCCCAATGTATGTGAACCTCCTAACAGCTCTGGGGATACATGAAGAGTCACCGTAGAACCCCACTTTATAGGTGCGGACACTGAGGCTCAGAGGCCTGGAGAGGTTAAGACGCCACAACTTTCCCGAGGGCGCGGGCAGACGCTTCGGGCGCAGTTGCCCTGGTGGTGCTCAGCATGAGGGCACCTAGCCAACAGAGAGGGAGGCGCAGACATGAGCATGGGGCAGGCCGGCTCAGCCTAGAGGAAGGCGCAACTTTTCAGACTCATTGCCAAGGTGGACTTGGCAGCAGCTGCGGTCACAAAGCTATAAATTCCAGAGCAGAGGCCAGTTCTCACAAGTGCCAAAGAAAAGCTGAAACTTCTCCTTGGTTCATCCCTCCTGCCCTGTCTTCCTGGC